TAGGGAAAGTTTCAAGAATTTTTTTTTTTAATAAAGGTATTTGAAAGTACATTGTCAGAAAGGGAATACCAGTAACAACATAAAAGGTTCATACACTATACTGGTTGGAGATACCTTTGTCAAGGTAAAAGCCAAAATTGTCTTCAGAATATTTTTTTAAAGGTGGGATGGGGATGCCGTCCTCGGGCTCCACTCCAATCCCAAATCTTCAGGAATTTCCCAATTCAGAGTTGGCCCGAGTAGGGAAATAATCATGAACACAGATCAAATTAAGGCACCATCAGGGCTATTTTTGGGCAGGAACGCACAGGAATGGAGTTCTGGCTGACTCCCAAGTTGGCCACGCCCAGCAGGAACTCATTAGCATAATAGGCCACACCCAACAGCAGAAACTCATTAGGATTGGCTACATTAGGGGTGTGTGGCCTAACATGCAAAGGAGTCCCTGCGAGCTGGGTGGAATATATCTAAATTTGGCTAAAGAAAAAAAACAATATTGTGGTGACATGTAGACAATAAAGATGGCTTTGTACACTGTTTTGGAAATAACTAAGGGAGAGAGGGTTGCTTATTTTTTAAAAAACATAACTGTAAAAACGTGGAGAGATGTCTGAAGCGGAAGACAGGCAGCATATCAATATACCGAGTATATTATGTAGGCATTGTGAAAGAAATTCAGTATATTTCTGAGAGGAAAATAAGCTGATAAGAAATGTCCGAAGGAGAATGGTGTGTTTCTGGAACACATGTAAAACCTCTATGCTTACAAAAAAAGAGGGAGGGAGGGAGACCTTTGGAGTCCTGGATCCTGCATCACCAATTTGATTAACATATTTTATTAAAATGCCTCCGTTATGGTCAGTCATACATTTCAGATATGAGAACAGTACGGAATGTCTTCCTGTCACAGTGGAAAGGTCACTGTCTCTTTACCAGGAGTAAATTTCTTCCCTGGCGAGCCTTCTCTTTCACAGTGTTCCCTATAGACAGCACATTCACCAACATTTTATTTTGACTTGGACCCCACGAATAAGTTCTGTTCACTCTAGACAGCCTGTACCATAGAGCTCACTCTGCTAGCACTTCCATTTGTGGAAGACCAGTGGTTTTCAGTATGTCCTTTCATAAGTGGAAGTGCTAGCAGAAGAGGAAGCAGGCTTCATGGTAGGGGCTGTCTAGTGCACGTGGAACTCCTTCATAGGATCAAAGCCAATTGTTTCTACAGGAGTCAACTTGTGCCAACCTTTCCTTGTCCTCATAGACTCATAGAATGTTAGAGTTGGAAGGGACCCTGCAGGTCATCTAGTCCAGCCCCCTGCACTCTGCAGGAACATAGCCGAAAGATAGCACTACAACATACCTGAAAGATGGTCGTCCAGCCTCCGCTTGAAAACATCCAGCAAAGGAGCATCCACCACCTCCTGAGGCAGTCTGTTCCACTGCGCAACCACTAGGAAGGTTCTCCTAATATTTAGCCGGTAACAACTCCCTTGTAATTTCCACCCATTAGATTTAGTCATGCAATCCGGAGCAAGAGAGAATAGATCTGCTCCATCTTCTACATGACAGCCCTTCAAATATTTGAAGACTGATATCATGTCCCCTCTAACCCTTCTCTTTCCCATGCTAAACATACCCAGCTCTTTCAGCCTTTCCTCATAAGACTTGGATTCCAACCCTCTCACCATCCTGGTTGCCCTCTTCTGGACACGCTCGAGCTTGTCAACATCCTTCCTAAAATGTGATGCCCAAAAGTGGACACAGTAATCCTCATGCTCTATCCTCTCCCAATTCTAATACAGGCACAGCAGAAATACGATGATGCCTTGAGTGAAGGATGGGAAGCCTTCCTGCTTGACAGGGATACAAATACCAGTGACGTTTTCATGTGCAACCTGGGTAACCTTCCTCCCAAAGGGGAGACCACGCTGAAGCTGCGCTATATCCAGGCATTGGCTCCAGAGCCTGATGGGGCTGTCTGTTTTGTCCTGCCTGCTGTGCTGAACCCACGCTATGTACCCCCGGGTAAGAACCTGCCTTCTGAAACCCAGCACACTTTTTCAGGTCAAAGATGATTCATAATCCCCCACACATACACACACAATCACTGTAAGGCCCAAGAATTGCTTGAAGAAGCTGTATATGTTGACACTACCAACTTGGATGAGTCCTTCCATTCTTTCTCCCAGTCTTTGTCAAAAGGTTTAAACTCTATCCCAGCCTTTCTAGAAGAAGAGATGCATATAAGCACGCCCTGTCTCGGGTGAGACCATCAGGATCTCCCTCAGTTCCCTCCTTTCTCCCAGTCTTTGTCAAGAGGTTTAAACTCTATCCCAGCCTTTCTAGGAGAAGAGATGCATATAAGCAAGCCCCGTCTTGGGTGAGACCATCAGGATCTCCCTCAGTTCTTATGTTAAAGCCTGATCTATATGTATAGCAGAGTGAAATGAGGGATGTAGAACCCTCAGAGAATAGGCTATACCTCTTCAGATGACAAGTTGAGGATATCACTTTTATTAATTTCCTTGAGCGGTGGCTCAAGTGGTTAAGACGCTGAACTGCAGGCTGTGGAAGGTCAGTAGTTCAGTGGTTCAAGACCCGGGTGCCGCAAGACAGGGTGAGCTCCTGTCTCTAGTTCCAGCTCCTGCCAACCTAGCAGTTCGAAAGCAAGAAATTGCAAGTAGATAAATAGGGACCACTTCGGTGGGAAGGTAACAGTGTTCCGTGCGCCTTGGTGTTTAGTCATGCCGGCCACATGACCACGGAAACGTCTTCAGACAGCGCTGGCTCTTCGGCTTTGAAACGGAGATGAGCACCGCAACCCTAGAGTCGGACTCGACTGGCTTTCGAGCAAGGGAACCTTTACCTTTACCTTTACATAAAATAAAAAGTCTCACAAGCTCCTATTCCTTCAGGTCTCTGGGGTTTCACCTCTAGCTTCGCTCCATAAGTTAGTGCAGGGACAAGCTATTGATCTCGATCAATAGCTAGCTTACCAGCTGCCCCTCCAAGTCACTGTGCTTCAGATAGCAAGACTGAATAGGCATAATGTGGCTACAAAGATCAGGTTTTGAGCTTTCAAAATAGAAGAAGAGATTGGATTTAAACCCTGCCCTTCACTACCTGAAAGAGTCTCAGAGCAGTTTACAATCTCCTTTCCCTTCCCGTCCCCACAACAAACACCCTGTGAGGTAGGTGGGGCTGAGAGAGCTCTGAGAGAACTGCTCTTGAGAGAGCAGCTCTGAAGGAACTTGTTACTGACCCAAGGTCACGCCAGCAGCTGCATTTGGAAGAGTGGAAAATCAAACCCAGGTCTCCCAGATTAGAGTCCACGCTCCTAACCACCACACAAAACTGGCTCTCAGTTTAATGAGGAAGATTAATGAGAACATAGATCAAACCAGTGGTCCATCTAGTCCAGGATTCTGTCTTACATAGTGGCCAACCAGGTACTGTAGATGGCCAACAACAGAGCACAGAGGCAGAGGCCTTCCCCTGATGTTGCTTCCTGGCACTGGCATTCAGACATTTACTCCCTCTGAATACGGCTAGTAGCCACATCCTCTGACAAATAACACATTTTAATCACTCGTTGCTTCTGTCATGCCACACGAACCTCATTTCTCCTGCCTCTGATACTGAGGTTGTGTATCATGCAGTGTTGGTGTATCAGGAGAGGGATTTCTCACTGTGTCCTGTAACTATGGCCTTGCCTGTTTGTGTGTCTCTTTCTGCAGGATCAGAAGGGGGCACAGTCACTGAACAGATACCACTAGTTCCCAAAGGAAAGCTTCCATATACGCTCAGCCTCCGTGCCACGCTGGAGTCCTCCCTTGTCATCAACCGGGTGGAATCCAAATGCGCCCTTGAACCCCTTCGCTACACAGCAGAAAACCATACTGCTGCCCAGGTGTGTTTACTGATGAACTGAATCATTGGTGCTAGTGATTGTTTCTGAAGAAGGGTGTGGCAAAACAGCACGAATAACTCGTGAGCGCTGCTCCATTCTGCCCTCCAAGGCATCTGGTTGCCCAATGACTATCCTGAATCTCCAATCAGCACTTTCCCAGCTCACCCAACATGCAGAGGGGTTTCCTCCTCTCATCTCCTTTGGTATGCTGCCACCAACTGGTTGTTTTAGAAATTGCCTACTGAGAGGGCCAGTACTCTCAGGTTCTCTTCCCATGTGGCTGTTCTAAGGCTTTGCGTAGTGCCTGCATCTCCCTCTACCCAGTGACTGGTTACCATGGGGACTGCTTACCACACCTGCACAATCACAAGGAAATAGTGATTTAGCAAGCATTCAAAATAGTAAATAATTTTTTAAAACTAAAAAGTCCACACACATGCTCTCTTCATAGTAACGGATTGAGCAAGGAATACAAAAGCAAGGTCCAGACACAGTTCCTCTGTCCCTCACTCTCTACATGCCCTAGCCCATCTTGTTCTAGGCATACTCTTTAACTTAGAAGCTACAGTGTTCTAAAAGCTTCTCATTACGTTGAGGTCTTTGTCCAGACACCCAGCCCTCTGGCAAACTCCCCCCCCCCCAATCTCTGTTTCCCTTCTAGGTGTCAGATTCCAGCCACAGTGTGAGCCAACCATTTCTTTGTATCCAGCCAGGATGCCTATAGCATATCCAAAGTATTGATGGTTGTTACTTGGGTGAAACCTGACTGTGTTCCCTGGAAGGACAGATACTGAAGCTGAAGTTCAGATAAGAGAGCACTCACTGGAAAATACCCTGATACTGGAAAAGGAGGGAACGGCAAAGGATGAGATGGTTAGACAGTGTTATCAATGCAACAAACATGAAGTTGAGCACACTCCGGAGGATGGCGGAGGACAGGAGGGCCTGATGTGTTGTGGTCCATGGGGTCATGAAGAATCGGACTCGACTGTGAGACTGAACAACAAAAACAACTTGGGTGATACTTGAAAGCAGTTGACTTCCACCTTATACCTGTCTTCTGCCAGAAGAAACTTCTAGGGGTTGTGTCAAAACCAAACCTCAAAATAAAAAGGTATTTCTCTGCCAAGAGTGTATTTCCTTCCCAGAAAATTCATGTAATCTCCATCCCAAATTCTTGCTGCTTAACCCTAAATCTCAGCTCAATAGTTCACTGGTATATGCTGCAAAAACCTATACTTTCGATTCAGATACTACAAAAGGATACATAATTATTAGCTGTGAATCATAACAAGGTTTTTCCCTGTAGACAGAAGGGAATCGGCTAAAATCTGCACTGCAGCCACTTCCCCCCACCCCTTTAAGCAGGAAGTTTTGCGTTGATGATGCCACAATGCACCCAGAATACGTGGGGCTAAGTGCTGCTGTAGGCTTAATCAAATGCCACTGTAGCAAAGCCAAGTGACAGCACACGAAGATCTCTAAAAGGACGTGGTTGAATGTTGGAAACAAGATAAGGTTCCTGAACTTGGGGAATGGATTAAAAAACTACTTTTTATGGTTGAAATGGATAAAATGACAAGGAAACTTAACAACTTGGAAGCAGAAGAATTTTTTGCAGACTGGAAAGACTTTAAAGATTATTTGAAGAAATACTGGGATGTAAAGGACAATTTACTTTGCTTTGAGAACTATTGAAAATTAAAGGATAGTAGAAAATAGATAAATGTATAAGAATAACTGTTGAAGGATAAGTTACCTGTGGTTGTGAATAAGGAGAAAAGGAGGTATGGAGAAAATTTAAGAATATGGCTGGAGGTTGGAGCACTGTGGGAAGCCGAGAAGGGGGGAGGGGAAGGGAGGAGGGAAGGATATATAATTATATAAGTTTTGATATATGTTTGAACTTTTTTTATTATATCCTAATAAATTGTTTTTGAAAAAAAAATAAAAGGATGTGGTTGAGTGGGGAATATAACTTTTTTAACAGGAGCACATTTGAAGAATGGAAAGTGCAGATAACAAGGAATTAGTTCCTCCCTGCATATTCCTGCTTCCCTTTATGTAAATGGAAGGCATTTTAAAGTGAATTTTGAGCCCTGTTACCGTGTCCACAACTTAAGCAGTATGGGGGAAAAGGTGATCTTAAGTTGTGCTGTTTCCTAAATATGCAGATGGGATCTCTGTGGAATGTGGTGGGGTGCTAGGAGTTATTTGGGAGGCTCCACAAAGCCTGATTTGATCTCTGGTCTTTTTGTTTGACATCCTTGGTGTAAGGGTAACCATTATCCAGTCTCCAGTACTTCTACTCCCTGTGTTTCGTCTTTGGTATAAGGGTAACCATTATCCAGTCTCCTACCCCCTGTGTTTCCTCATAAGTTTCTGATCTGGGGTTGTCTTCTCAGTGAAAGGAGGGTAGCTGTAACAGGACTTATGCTTGCTCTCAACTGGAGTTCTTTGGGGAACGGAAACCTTCCCTAGCCTCCAGTGTTCACTCTGTTTTTTGTTTTAATCTCTCCCAAAGGTCTCCTTGGCTGAAGGGCACCAATTTGACCAAGATGTAGAGCTGCTGATTTATTATGAGGAAGTTCACAAGCCCAGTGCAGTCCTCGAGGCTGGGAAGCCAGGAGCTGCGTCAGGTGGGCAAGCCATGGATGGAGGCTGAAGTGCAGGGGACTCTGGGAGATTCATTTGACCAGTGTGTGGCTGGCTGGCACAGTACTTGGTGAGGAGTGTGGGCATTAATTGGGTAGAAATGTCTATTGACTCTCCTTTCTCCCTGTGCAAAACAGGATCCTTGATGGGGGACCCAGCCCTTCTGCTTACCCTCTACCCCAGCTTGAACTATGACCCCAAGCCAGGCCTGAATGCCACTGGGGAGTTCATCTTCTTGCTGGATCGCTCTGGCAGCATGGACTGGAGAATGGATAACAGAAGTTGCTATTCACCAACACGTATTCAGAGTGCCAAGGTAGGGATGAACGGGCTAAATCAGTGCTACTCATTCCACAGCTCATAGAGAGCCACATTCACAACTACTGTCCGTGGAAAGGGCCACATGACTGCTACATGCCACCCCACCAAGTACACATACACACAACAATAATAACTTTTTAAATTACCGGAGAAGCTCAGACCACATAGGGTGGCCTCTCCCAACCACTGCTGACCCTCAGCCTGCCTTGTGTATATGGCCTGAGGGGCGGTGACCTGGGGAGAGACAGGGTAGGCAGAGATGGAAGTGAAGGGCACGCAGCCTTCCCACTGTAAGAGCCTGCCTGAAACAGGCTTTGAGTATTCCGAAGGAAGGCCCCAACCCCAAGCTAGCACTGCTGGCTGTCTCAGAGCAGCGCCGCTCTCTCCGCAGCACCCGGTTCACAGCTTAGGTGATGGCAAGATGTCCAAGACTGCTCTGCCTCATGAGAGGGGAGAGAGGGAGAAGGCAGCAAGGGAAGTCAAGAACGCTCAGGCTTCCTGCTGCAAAAGCCTACTCTGCGTCAGCCAGCTGTGCCAGAAGCCGGTGTTGTGCCCCCTTTACTGCTCTCTTCCCGAGCATGAGGCTGCTCAAGGCAAGAAAGTGGGATTGCCAAAGTGCCAGGCAGAGAGCCAGCTGGCTGTGCAGAAAGGAAAGCCAACACTGTGGCCAGCTTGCTGTTTTCCCCAGGAGCCTGCCCTTGTGTCGGGGTGAGAGCACAGAGGCTGTGGAGGAAGACAGGGCAGGTGTTGGAAAAGTGTTTGGTCCCATAAGTGGCACGAGGGAAGCACTTCAGAGCGGCTTACTCATCTGCCTGTCCCTCCAGTTGTCACTGTTTCAAGGTAGAAACTACACACCCAGTCTGTCAAACAATACACTTGCCCACATTTCTGAAATATTTAGTGAGTGTCACATTGGAAATGGTGCTCAGAAGGGCCACTGGTGGCCTGTCTGAGAGTAGCGTGTGGGTCCTGAGCCACTCGATGTCACTAGCCTAAATGCTGGAGCCTCTGACAGAGGGAAGTTCATCTGAGGGTTGGTTGTACTAGGGAAGAAGTGTACTAAGGACGGAGACGGCAAGCGCTCTGTGGAAGCACGGAGGTAGTGCTGTGACGGGAGGGAATCCAGAGGGGTAACTTCAGATTTTCTCTCCCCCCACCTCAGGAGACCCTGATTCTCCTCCTGAAGAGCCTCCCTCTGGGATGCTTCTTCAACATCTATGGCTTTGGATCCCGCTGTGACTCATTTTACCCGTGAGTGTCAGAATTTTCGCATGTTTCATTCCTCGTTCCTTCCTCTCTCTCCTATTTCCATCTTGCCTCCCTGAGCCCAAGGGGACGTTTCAATTTCAGCTTGCTAATGTTGACGAAATGTAATCAAACCAATCATCCCTGATTGACCTGAAATTTCATGATGCTCCACTGGGCAGCAGTGTTCTTCCCTTTTTTTCTGTACTTTTAATATTATCTTATTGGCAGTTACTAGCCACTAATGGCTTGAATTTTAGTGGAGGGAGAATTGTTATAAGACTAGGGTGCTGGAGAGTAAAAGGGTTGCTTGGGTGAGTTTAGTGAATATGTGCAAGTCTGAGACAGGGAGCAGAGTAGATAGGGCAGGTAAACCTCATCCGCATCTTTGACTCTCCTCTGACTTTTACCCTCTGCAGGCAGAGCGTAGAGTACACCCAGGAGACCATGTCAGAGTCTCTCCAACGTGTGAAGAAGCTGCGGGCTGACTTGGGGGGCACAAGGATTCTGAAACCACTGAAGGCCATTTACAGTCAGCCATGCCGAGAAGGACATCCTCGTCAGGTACAGAAAAGAAATGACTGTGTGATACTTCAGGTGTTGTGAAAAGTAATGGAACACGTATGTCGGGCTGAAGATACATGGTCCCAGTACCCTTATTACCAAAGTCTGCCATTACCAGCAGTTTGCTTTTGAAATCAGAAGCCTCTGTGCCTTTAGCGTTGACAGTGAGAAAAGGCAGAGAGGGTAATGTTCCTTCCAAGGGCTAGGGTCGTTGGAACCATGTTGCCGAAGCAGAACTTTTTTTTTATTTCCAGAGGCAAGTTCTTGAGTATTTTTAAGCATACTCCAGATTGAAAACCACTGGAATGTCTTCTGCAGTGTCATCTTCTGGGCATGGAACAGCAGTCACTGGGGGTGTTGGGGGAGGAGTTATTTGTGGATTTCCTGCATTGTGCAAGGGGTTGGACTCAGCCATGCCGAGAAGGACATCCTCGTCAGGTACGGAAAAGAAATGACTGTGTGATACTTCAGGTGTTGCGAAAAGTAATGGAACACATATGTCGGGCTGAAGATATGTGGTCCCAGTACCCTTATCACCAAAGTCTGCCATTACCAGCAGTTCACTTTTGAAATCAGATGCCTCTGTGCCTGTAGCATTGACAGTGAGAAAAGGCAGAGAGGATAATGTTCCTTCCAAGGGCTAGGGTCGTTGGAACCGTGTTGCCGAAGCAGAACTTTTTTTTTATTTCCAGAGGCAAGTTCTTGAGTATTTTTAACCATACTCCAGATTGAAAACCACTGAAATATCTTCTGCAGTGTCATCTTCTGGGCATGGAACAGCAGTCACTGGGGGTGTTGGGGGAGGAGTTATTTGTGGATTTCCTGCATTGTGCAGGGGGTTGGACTAGATGACCCTGGAGGTCCCTTCCAACTCTATGATTCTAATAACAGACACATCAGGCATTGGCGTCTGTCAACTAATACAAGGCTGAACTATGCCTGCGTGTGAAGTGCTGACAGGTTGCAGCTGACCTATGGCAACCCCAGCGAGGGGCTTTCAAGGCAAGTGAGAAGCATGTGATTTGCTATTGCCGGTAGTCTCCCATCACCGACCCTGCTTAGCTTCTGATATGTGACGAGATCAGGCTGTACCATACAGCTTTCCTTTCCAAATTAGACTTAAAGAGGATGTATAAAACCTCCTCTGTGCTAATAGGTCTCCACAGATAAGCTTTTGGCCTCCAATCTCACATCCCTCTCCTTCTCTTTCAGCTGTTTGTGTTCACAGATGGAGAGGTTTCTAACACTAATGAAGTAATTGCGGAAGTTCAGTGTCACAGCAACTCCCACAGGTTGTAACTGGAACAAGAGATCAAACACTCTTGGCCTGCTGTATCCTCTGCATAACCTTCTCTGTCTTAGTCTCTTACTTCCTCCCCAGCACCTTATTCAGATAATAAGTAGTCAGATCCAGCCCAAATCAAAGTAGCAGGTACTCATTTGCATATTAAGCGATACACCCCTAGTGTAGCCAGTCCTCCAAGAGCTTACAGTAGCTTCTGTAAGAAGAGCTCTGTAAGCTCGTGGAGGATTGGCTACATTGGGGGGGTGGCCTAATATGCAAAGGAGTTCCTGCTACAAAAAGAGCACTGATCCGGTTAACATAAATTAGGCGCCATGGCTCAATAGCAGAGCATCTGCTTGACATACAGAAGGTGCCACGTTCAGTCCACAGCACTTCCAGTGACAAGGATCAGGTAGTAGGTGATGTGAAATACTTCGGCTGTGGTCACACACACTAAATAATTCACTTTCAATCCACTTTCAGTGCACTTTCCAACTGGATTTTACTGTGTGAACTAGCAAGATCCAGTTGGAAAGTGCATTGAAAGTGGATTATTTCGTGTCTGTGACTGCAGCCTTTGCCTGACACTCTGGAAAGCCACTGCCAGTCTGGACTATACTGACCTTGATCGAGCAATGTTCTGATTCATAAATAATAGAAGGGATTTATTGTGTTAAATGTATTTGTTAACCAGATAATCCAAATGAAACAATAACAATTAGTAATACTTTGGTATCATCAGAAATGTTTGTTTGATATTTGCACTTTCCACTTTCAGTGTTACCAGCGGTGGGAGGGGCAGTATTCAGGTAGCAGATGGTCTGAATGATAGGGACATCTGCAATCAGAAGATTTACCAGAACTTCCCACTGAAGACGCCTTGATTGACAGAAACACTGAGCATTAAAACATTTATCATTCTAGTATTTGTGTGGTTTGGAAAGTGGCTTTCCAAGGAAGTGGGGGTCCTGTAAAGGGACTGGCCTGAGTTGTCTGAACTAGCTTGTTATCTGGGGTTGTACCTGCTATACACAAAGAAAAAAAATGTTTTGCTTTGTAATCTTTGATGGGGCGGCAGAGCTGTGGAAATGGGGGGGGCAAGGTTCAGGCAAAAAGTAAAGCTATATTTTCTCTCCACCCACCCCCAGAATGCGGTACTTATGCCAAGAGAGAGGCAAATGTTCTGCTAGTTCTTATTTCCTGGCAAGCACTCCCCTTCACAGAAATGGGGGTGATGGTTTTGTCCTGTTCCCTGAATGTAAAGCAGGCAGCATGAAGTTGGTATGCTATACTGAATGAGGGTCTGAGAACTCTCAACTTTAACAGTTTTGTTTGAAAAGTACCTTGGGGAATTTGGGTTTGGGGCCATGTCTAGAAGTGAGGCCCGAGGAGAAAATTTCAGTGGACTTTTTTAGTTCATAGTTCAGTGGGGTGATCCCTGTATATTTTTGCAAGATTGTTGTTGTTTTGCCCCATCCTAGTTTGCATCAGTTTCTGGGTGATGTACAATAGAGGCACAAAGCCATAAAATGAATTTACAAAACATTAAGAATTCAGGATAACAAACATAAAATAACAATTTTTTAAAAACCAAGTTTAAAAAGTCCCAGATGGCGTCCTTAAAAATTTCATCCCGGTTCTGGACTGCCTGGCCGCTTTCTGGGCAGGGGGAGAGGGAAACAGAAGATCAGAATTAAGGGGAGGAGGAGAGGAAGAGGTAAAACACAGGGAATGGGTAAAATCTTTTTTAAAAATCTTTTTTTTAAATGGAATACGAGCATGACAAGGCGTAAACCACAAACCTTGCCTTAGTACTTTGTGTTGTTTGATGCATTTCGCCGTCATCTGAGTTCTGAGCAAAGGTACTGGAAAATGGTACTGGAATAAAACAAGTTCATTTGTGGTAGAAGGCAGGGTTGAACTCCCCTCATCCCCGCACTGCAGTTTACAATAGACCCCACATTCGTCACCTGCTTGAGGACTGAGGGAGAGGAGGAAGAAACACCCAAGCTTATCTTGTCACTTCTCTCTTTGCTGCAGAGGAGAAATTTGAGTGTCAATAAAATGCGGGGGGGGGGGTTCCTTTCTCTTACTTGTCTGAAGTTTGGCAGGGAGGATCCCCTAGTGAAGAAAACTATAAGCCTTGAGAATTTCATCCAAAGGGGAAAATATGTGGGAATGTGTTCACTCCCCAAACTAATGAAAGTAAAAACTAAATAGAATACCTAATGTTATTACGTCAGTACCCAGCTTTAAGGAAACACTCAGTTCCATTTGGGGGAAACCCTCAGTTCCATTTGGGCAGAACTCCTTCCTTATGTCAGGAGGTTCTCACTCTAGCTGACCCACACTAGCCACTGTATAGGCCTTTCTTTTGGGGTACTGGAGGACACTCCAACCCTCTTAGTGATTGTCTTTATTTCTCCTTCCTTGGACCTAGCTTATTGGCAGTTTGGGGTGTTTACCTATCCTGAGAGCCCCCCTGATGGAGTAAAGACTCTTTGGTTTATTGCTCTTTACACTTTGGACTTTAAACAGCAGGTACCATCCATATGGAGAGTGTTAATTCACAGCGACCTGACAGCACTAAACACACACACGCTATTCATATATTTCATGCAGTAATTGCAAAGGCACTTCTGTTAAAATTTAACCAAGTTCAATTTTACAGAAGGGAGATTTTCCAGCAAACTTAAGGTTTGCAGTAGGCAGAGGGGTGGGCAGAGTGTTGGGGAGGCAGAAAAGGGAGGCAAGATTCCCCCCTCCCCCACAAGTTTCTGTCAGGTCTCTGTGGTGGATGAGAGGTGTGGGAGAAGAGACCAAAAATGAAGGGGAGAACCAGCTGGGAGAGGGAAGGATGGGATTCCCCCACAGACCCAATTCCCCCAGATCCCTGCCTGCACACATATAATCCAGAGAATGCCACCATCTCACCCCCTGTAAGAAAGACATGTGGATAACCTTTATATTTCCGTGGGGATTCGTTGTTTATTTCTTGCTCCCAGAATGCCAGGAGGTGCTATCTGACCCCCAGCACTGTTTTATATCTGTATACTTGTTCAGCATTTTACCGAGGATGATGAACAAGTACCTTAAGGTCATGTGGCCTGAGACATCTGTGCCCCCCCCCCGCACTTTATTTGTGTAGTGTCCTGCCTGATGAAAAGTTCTGGACAACTCATAAGCTTGCACACTGTTCTGTGTGACTGTGGTGGGACCAGGAGGTGGGGAGAGTGTTTTGGAAGCCATCCCATGTCCTCTCCTACACCTGACAGACAGCTGCCTGTCCACTGTAGGAGGGGAGGTGGAGGAAGGAGTATTAGAAGCCACTGTGGAGGTGGGGCTGCACCTGACAGACAACCACCTGTTAGGTTTAGGAGGTGGGGGGAGTGGGTTGAAAGCCATCAGAGAGGCTGGGCCAGCAGCTTTGCTTCACCTCACAGGTGGTTCTTGGCCACTCCTGATTTCCTCAACTGTCATTATCTCTCTGCAGTCCCCTGTAACTGTTGGGGTTTTTTTAAACCACAGAACACTGAGCTCTGCAGCTGACCAATCAGAGAGTGGGAGCACATTTTCCCTCTTTTGACCCACTTAGGGGTCGAATTTCTAAAAATCCCTTCTTAGCGAACACCTACGCCACAGTGGGAGTGATCTCCCTGAATTTGGTGTCTCTAGGTCCAGCGGTTTGGCCTGGGCATTGATTTTACAGTGTGGGGACTTTCTTTTATATATATAGATGGGGATTCATAGTTTACTTCTTGCTCCCAGAATGCCAGGAGGTGCTTTCTGACCCCCAGCACCATTTTATATCTGTATACTTGTTCAGCATTTCACAGAGGATGCTGGCAACCCAAGCCCTTAGGGTCATGTGGCCTGAGACATCTGCGCTCCCCTCCCCCCCTCATCACTTTATTTGTCTGGTGTCCTGCCTGATTAAGAATTCTGGAGAACTCATAAGCTTGCACACTGTTCTGTGTGATTGCGGTGGGACCAAATAAAAAGTTTCACATGGCTTATGTTCTGGTTTTTTGGATACAAATTTTTTAAACCCCCTGTTTTGTTTTTGCACCTTTCCTTGCAGGTGCTTCTCCTTCGGCATTGGCGAAGGGTGGGGATTCGTTGTTTATTTCTTGCTCCCGGAATGCCAGGAGGTGCTATCTGACCCCCAGCACTGTTTTATATCGGTATACTTGTTCAGCATTTTACCGAGGATGATGAACAAGTACCTTAAGGTCATGTGGCCTGAGACATCTGTGCCCCCCCCCCGCACTTTATTTGTGTAGTGTCCTGCCTGATGAAAAGTTCTGGACAACTCATAAGCTTGCACACTGTTCTGTGTGACTGTGGTGGGACCAAATAAAAGGTTTCACGTGGCTTTTGTTCTTGTTTTTTGGATACAAAGTTTTTAAAACCCGTTTTTGTTTTGGTTTTGCACCTTTGCTTACAGGTGCTTCTCCTTCGGCATTGGCGAAGGGTCCTCCACAGCCCTCATCAAAGGCATTGCTCGAGCAGCTGGAGGCAGTGCTGAATTCATCACGGGCAAGGAGCGCATGCAAGCCAAGGTGAGGATCCGGGAGCCTGGCTTTCCCCTCCGTCTTTGGCTGGACTCCACTCTTCTCCCCTGAGCTCTAGGTAGCTTTCCAGGCTCCCCTCTCTGGCAAAGAGCACCCAAAAGCTTGCACTCCCAGCCTAACTGACTTTGAAATGAAACAAGGCATTCTGTCTTGCAGTCTTTCCTCAGATCCTGCCAGGAATGGGTCCTCGGATGGGTGCTCTTGTTCAGCCCTCTCTTCCTCTTGTTCTACAGACTGTTTTCTTCCTCCTTCACCAGCTAATCATGCCCAAGTGATTTCAACGTAGTATTTTCCTGTACAAGACATGATTTAATACAGTCACTAAAAGCCAAAAAATTAGATTGTTTATTTGTGTTTTCTGTTGAAAGAGAGTGCTTTGTCATTTCTACACCTAAAGCGTGCTTATTTAGTGTCTATTGCCTACTGGTACTTAAACACCTATGTATCAAACAACTCAGGATAAAATAAAGAGGATGTCTTGTTCAGTCGTTGTGCTGGCTTCAAAAGGCATCTGCAAAACTTTTTTTTAGCTTTCTTATTGGACAAGGAACCCTGTTGTCTACCTTAGGCCTACTTATGCTGTTTCCTTCCTTCAGGCCTTGCAGTCTTTGAAGAAAGCCCTGCAGCCAGCAGTAACAGGAATCTCTGTGCATTGGGATTTGCCTTCCGGTCTTGAGGCTGTGCTTGTGGGGTCCGGCCCACAGGTCATATTTGAAGGGCAGCGCAGCCTCATCTACGCCCAGATCCATGGGCAGCATCAGGCAAGCAACCTCCACCAAGGCCCCAAAGGCTGACCATCAGTCCCTATCCATCTCTCTTGGCCAAGGAATAGGGCTGCCAAATCCCCCCGGGGGGCGGATTTCCCCCCGCTTTGGAGGCCCGGTTTCCGCCGCCGCAGATTCGGGCCCCAGGGGAAGCCCCACCCTGGTGTGGATGTCAGCCGGATGTGACGTGATGACACCGGGCACGCTGGGGGCGGGGCCACAGCCATTTGAGGGGAAAACATAGACGCCGTCCGGGAGCCCCCCGCCGCAAAGAGAAACAGGTTTGGCAACCCTACCAAGGAAACCGTAGGACCTTTTGAGGTCTTGGTACTTTGGGCAATGTTTCCAGAATGAATCCCTCCTTTCCTTCTGCTCTGCCAATTTTTTTGTTCTCTGCAGTCCTCAGGTGCCTTAGAGGGGTCGGCTGTGCTTCAGTACAACATCCAAGGCCAGACTTTCACGGAGACAATGAAGTTTCCCCTTCAAGCTCAGGAGAGTGACAGGTAGGATGATCTTCTGTTTATGACTGCCTGATCATCAGCCAGCGTGCTAGAACTGGGAAGAGAGATGTGAAGGCTTGAAGAAATAGTAATTGAGGGGGTTAGTGTTCTTCTGTTCCCCCCCCCCAGGTTTTTTCTTTCTAAACGATCCACAAAGTTACTTAGATAAGCTTATTAGGTACTGTGATCTGTTCTACTGTGCTTAGCTTTCTGAAACTAGGATCCTGATATGTAATTCTTGTATCATTTCATGTGTAATGTTAAGATTTATGCTCTCCTTCAGTTCTGCTTTTAGATTTCTGATTGGTTTTATAACTTTAACCCTGTTGTCTTTATTGAATACCCCGTCGTTTTGATTGCATCGACTCACTATTTGTCCGTGAATAAAACTTTGTTGGCCTTAAAGGTGCCACTGGACTCAAACTATGTTTCATGTCCTTGAGTCCAAGTGAGAAAGATGAACTATAACATAAATGAAACAAATATTTTTTTTATTTTGTTTTTTGATTAGTTTTATTTTATTAAGGTAAGTTAGAAGTTTTGAGGGAGCACTGAAAACAAAAACCTCCTGTGAAATATTTTCTCTGCTTTAATGATTGAAACGCTTTTCAAGCACTCCACCGTGAGGTGAGAAATTGCATTTGATATCATTGTTAAGCTGTCCTGACATAATTACTCCAGTGGAAAATGCTTCCAGAATGTTAACATCCCAGATCATTTCCTAAACCAATCTTTATGTGATTCATCTCTCCCTTATATATAATTGAGTAACACGCAGAGTCACGCAGCAGAGAGAAAATGCACACCAACAGTGTTTCGACGGCTGAACTGTCCGACAGAAGCTTCTCCAGCTTCCATTGGCTGTGTCCCCTAAGTCCCACCTCAGAACACTCCCCCCCCCAACTCGCCAGGGCTGGATGGAATGGCGGCGGCAGCTCATCACCGCTCGCCGAGGCCGGATTCCCCCAACTTTATTGCACGCCTGTTTTTTCCCCTCCCCCGCCTGCC